CGTTTTTTTGCAGTTTACATTCACTATACAGCGTAAGCAGAACGCGAAAAATAAACATGAATTTGTACAAATTTCATTTGTAAACCACGCAATGTAACATTGCCAGCACTACAAAATGAATATAATGAGCAACTTAGGTTATTCATGTTTCGCAAGATATATTCGGGATGCGTTGTTGCCTATTCTAGTTTATGTATACATAAACTATAGTTCACGAACAAACATTTTACGAATTCATTTTCAGAATAGGGGCCGAAGAATGAGGAACTCGATGGCATAAAGTGGAAAATGATTTCTACACTGGCTAAATATAATTTATATTGTAATTCGTACATATCCTATACAAATTAGATTAAAAAACTATCAAATCTCGTGAATCGAAATCTCGTGAAACTATCATCGCTCGTGAATCGCAGGGGATCTATTTGAACCTTTTGCATTGGGACCTCCGAGAACCTAGCTACGCCACTGATTATGGCTAATGTCTGAATCTGGCTAATTCGCGATCATCTGGTTAACATTCACATTATCCAAAATGGGTGGATAAAGTGCGAAGTAAGAACAGTCGCCACGAATACTTCGGAAGATGAAGTAACACTAGGTGGCTAGAGTAGGTGACGTACGTTACGGTGACGATGATTACCATATAGTTATGTAATACACGGACTGCTAGTTTGGATTTTAGAGGTATCGAGAGAGAGAATATGTGTTTCGAGTTCCACTGTGTAAATCGTAAATTTGTATTAAAATGTTCCGTATAAACTAATATAACTAGGCTTCGGACTTCGTGATTTGGGCTTAACAACAAACCTGAGTCTGTGCAACGCCCAATCTTGAACGTATTTTTATGCCAAAATATTTATTTTTGCTAATGTCAACATTAGCGGGGTGAAGTCCAAAAGTCGCACAGAGAGTAATGACAAGGTATCAACTCATGTCACTGCAGTCCCTCTGACCGGGAGGTCCTAGGTTCTAGTCCCCACGGTGGCAGCATGGAAGCTTGTCAGCTAGGTCGAATTTAGACGCTGCCTAGAGGAGAATTTTAGTGGCCGACTTCTCTGATCGGTAGTTTTCCGGGGATTCTCCGATCAACACTGGGCGAATTCCAGGGGAGATAAACGGGGGAAAATTCCGCTAGCCAACGGTAGGTCGGAGCCGGATCTAGCCATACCCGAGAGACCACCGCCACCTCCTGAGCAAAAATATGCACTACATTTAAGGGACGAATAACCTTAGTAGTTGATGCTTCCGGAATTCCTAACAACCAATCAATAGAAATCCGCTTATTTTGCTTTATCTAAATAGCAAGTGTGTGAATTAGCTGTCTAATTAGTGTGTGAATTATTTGGCTAATTCGCGAATTAACCATATTTCGGGTCTTAACATTTATATACGTATGCAATGGTACTAAAATTGAAACAATTTCAAGAATAGGTATCAGAATGTGTGTAATATTCCCCGAGAGAGAGTAAATGTCATATAATGCTCCGTTCTTTCTACTACCTAGATCGTAGTAACAGAGTTCTCTCTTAAGATCAGACATTCAATATTGGCCAACGTACCTTCTTGACTTTAAAACATTTTACGACATTAAGCCTGTGTAAACAAGTTTTTGATTAGACCATACACATACATCTTAAGCGAAATTTCTTTCTGAAATCATGAATAAGTTATTGGATGCAGTTATTCCTTTATTGTCTTGTTTGCGTTTTATCTCTTAGCATATCTGCATAAACGGACAGGTCTCAGAGGAAAATATAGGAACCTGTAATTATTACTGGCCTGGGTCGTATAACTGACTGGGAATATCGTAAATATAGGAGATTACATAGTAGGCAGAATAAGTATGCAACAATTCCCTCGTAATGGATTCACATTTTACGCCCAAATGGAGCATGAAAATACTATATTATCAATTGTTTCCCCTTGATCTTGGCAAATGCAGCACTCTTTTTCAAGGAGCATCAAAACAGTTTTATCGTAATGGCGTGTTCTAAGTGCCTGGACTTTAATTACTGAGCTAGTCTTTAGCTTTCATCTGCCTCATCTACAACATGAGTTTCATTCACCTTCACCACCTGACGCACTGCTCGAGAAACGTTTAAGTTTCCTTCAATAATTCGATAGTTCTTTTAGCTGTAATACATGTAACTAACAAAAATTATAATTTACGTAGGATCCTCAGTAAATACCAAATAAGAACGAATACGCCCAACAAAAAGAAGAGCAGCACAAAGAAGTCAGAGAAGAGGTGGAGGAGGTTAAATACTCTAGCAATGTGTAATTTCTCATCTTTTCCATTAAAGTTTATGAGGCGGCAGTTAAGACAGTGCGACTGGGACGTCTCACGAATTTTCAGTGGTGGAAATGTTTATCATTTATCTTCTTATAAGAGCACATTAATGTTGGAATAACTTCTGCTCTCAATCATAAATTACATAATTTGGGGATAGTCCCTAAAACGTTTACTCTTCTGTATGACATTTTGTGAATAGGACTGCCACCTCACCGATATAGGTGACAAACTCGAATTATATCAACATGTCAACGTACTATTTACGGACTGAGGACATGAAGAGCTTGGGCGTAAAATTTGATAACCCTCAACGTTGTAGTTTTGGTGATATTATTATAATTTCTGGCTCCTTCATCCATTGTCCATGCAGGTGATTCCAAAACTGTTGCATTTATGGCTCATAGACGAGCCCCGGTTATTGTCATCTTTGTGCAACCCAATTAAAGCCCTGGAATCACAACACTTGTTTTATAACTCAAAATCATTTCCGTGTGGGTTATCCTGCTTTTCGTCCGAACTCTTCATAAACATACTTACATTCAAACATGCATTATATTTATTTGTGAGTATAATAAATAGTACCAGCATGAATGCGCAATGTTTAAGCAGTTTTAAGGGGCCGAGACTGGATTATCTAGTATAAGCCGCTCTACCTGCGTCGACCCGCTCTCCGGCCGACTTCCGACTTCGCGGCGAGAATGGGCGATCAATAAGATGTATTAACATCAGCCCTAGAAGTGGGGCATTATCTTATCCATTCTTAAAATATATATATTTAGGAATGAACCCTTAATTCGTAAGCCGTACTTAAATAAAGATCGCAATAGTCATATGCTATTTCAGTTGGTCAACGAAGAGTCATTATGACATCGGAGATAAGACATTACAGTATCCGTTGTCCCTTTCCTTGTTAATTCCTTTCACCATAGCTCTAGTCATAGTACTATGGTATTATTAGACTTAGCTGTGTTTGAAATAGGCTTATCGACAGGCTTAGTCAGAGGGCTAGCCGTAGGTCTAGCTGCAGCCACAGCCATCGTCATGGCCTTTTGGCTGTTTCCGATGTTTGACTAATAAGCGCATTAGCGCCCGAGGACATGGCCACCCAGAGAAAACAAGAAGCCTGGACCAGTAGATTAACGGGCGCTTCTTATTTGAAACAAAAGTTCCGCGCCCTCTTCAATAATAAACAGAATACATCTCTCCATGCAACATCAATAACTTAAAGCGGTTAATTTGAATTAGAAGCACTTACATGTTTTATATCTTTAGAATAATAAAAAACAACAAACAAACAAACAAACAAACACAAAGGTGACGTTCAAGCTCCCGATTGGATGACAGCATCACAGTTGACGAAACGGACAATGTTTTAATCGAAATATAGGGCAAGTTGCTCCATCCCCCCCCCTTTCCTATGGGCGCCCATGCACGTGAGCGCATGCGAGGCGAAGCACGTGCGCGCGATTTTTGAACTGTATTATAGGCCGGAGCGGCAGGATTTCGAAGCGCGGCGCGCACCATCTGCGTCTGTCTCACCGCGTCGAGTCGCTTAACAGCCGACTTCGCGGCGAGCAAGGCACCTCCATTCACCTTGCACGTTACGACTCTCGCGAGGCGGTGTAAGCAAACCAATTGGACGAAAGGGCGCGGGTCAATAAATCGCGCGATGGTTTGTTGGTTCAGTCAAGACACTATTTCGCGTAGTTTTTTCAGGCTTCAAAGTCTTGTACCATTTACCAAATAAATAGTTGAAACTTCAATAATACTTCGTATTTTGCGAACTTTGTGACTACACGGGATAATTCGTACTCATCAATCTGAAAGCAGCCACATACTAACATAGCAATATGTAACGTTTTTAAGCGATATCTAAACAATTCAAGAAAATCAAAGGAAGAGAAATTCGTTTACTCTGATTTTTTTCTCACTAAGTGAAAGTATTCCTTTATAGCAAATAACATGAGTTTGGGAAATATTTAATGCAATCCATAAATGAAAAAAAAGTTTCAATAATTCATGGTTCTTGAAAGTGATTTGCACGTAGAGAAGAGTACGTAGTATAAGAAGAGTACGTAGATCATTCGCTAAATACAAAAAAGGACATAAAACGGGGATAAAAAAACAATGTCAACATCGTAAGATTCTACAAACAATTACGTGATTCCTTGCAACTATTAAAAATAAAATAACTTGATACCATTTAAGAATCTAGAACTGAATCATCTATATCAGACAACGACTGTACTAGCATTTCCCCCGTAAATAGTTGTAGTAATATGCAATTTGAGAAACATAATATGGCTGTAATTATCTCACATATGTGCGTAAAACCAACTGAACGTCTAAAAAAGAAGATATTGAATACGAAAAAGACATTCATTTGAATGACTATTAATTAATGAAAAAATGTTTTCTTGAGGTGTAGAAAACACTGAGTAGAAGCAAATCATAGCTGTTTAATATAAGAATATGTCATGATATAACACTGAAAGGGATTCTAAGAAAATACAGAAGAATGAAGAGTCAACTACGCTAATCTATTAGTACTACTTTGCTATTTAATTGCGAGTGACACTATTCGGGAAGCAAAAATTACATTCATTCAAGATTTGTTAATTTACTGATTAAATAGGCAACAGTATTAATCTTTGTCAATTTTATATATCACTTTGTGACAAGTATATATGTATTCGCTACTTACTTGTCATTAGTAGAAACTTCAGGAACACTTGCAGAATATAATTCTTGTGTCACATTATTTCTTCCAGGCACATTTATACACTCGCTGCGTTCTCTCCGTGAATTAGATCCCACAACTAAAGCAGGCACTTCCGAAACATCAACCACTCCCACTCCGTCGTCTCCATCCAGAAGTCTCGAAGAATCGCTCTTTCCCGTAGGTATGTTGTCGCAAAAAGACACACTATATGTCACAGATTTTGGCGAAGTGCCTCCCTGAGTGGTATTTGGAACATTCAAATCTTCCATTGCGGTAGAGAAAAGAGATTTTTGCGTTATTCAGTTTGACACTTCTAACTAACCTAACAAACACAAAGATTCTGGAACCATATTGGATCCAATGACCTCTCAGCTGACTACTACAGGATGGCCATCTTTAAGAGAATTCAATTGCTTATGAACTTAAACAAATTAAAAGAAATAACATCGCAGTGAATACAGACAATTGATAAAAATATTTCTGACATTTCAAATGTATTCTACATTTAAAATCTATTCATTATTATTCTGAATTTGAAGAGCTGTCAAAATACGTTTTTCCAGGTTTTCCAGCGCGGTGATGATGGCTACCCGAGTCGATAAGGGTACTTCATGGAAGAACTTGGTTGCTTATAGTGAGGAACGCGATAGTGCTACCACCTAGTAACAGATATGAATACCCTACTATTTAAGTGGCGCTAGAGTGCGCTGGTCGACGAAAGCAGAAGTTCCGCTTCCTTCTTGAATTTTGTTTAAATACAGTTCATTTTTAAAATTCCCCTCGTTGAGTTAGTTACAATTCTATCTTTTCTTATGATTAAGTTTTGTAAAATATAAAAAGCATATCAAACGAAAGAATGCTTCAAATGTTATCTGTCGATTGTAATAAAATTTTATGAACTATTCAATTGAAAACAGAAATAATGACACTTCATAATCTGTATTTTTCTTGGGTGTTAGTTCTCAAATAATTCATGTGTTAATTTAGTTTTTTATTAATTAAACAAATAGTTCAAAAGAAGTCAAATTATCAAAAGTAAAAATACTCCAGGAAGAACATTTTACAAGAAATTAATGTTCAGAGATTTATCCAAGTTTTTGAAATTAAATATATTTTTTAACTTTATTGGTTTATTTACATAACATAAACAAAAAAGGATATTAGCTACTGTTTAAGCAGTTGTACAATTCACAATGTTTCACTTTTATACTTTGCATGTTTCCAGTTAGTTTACAGCAGGGGTCTTCAACGTTTTACACTTTTAGGAATCCTTTAAGTTTGCTTTCATGAAGGAAACTCATATTTAAGTACCAAGTAAAATGGTTTATTAAATTTTTTTTTTCTATTAAATTTCACAAAATTATTCTTGATTCTTTATTTAATCATAATACACACATTTTATTAACAATATGAACAGTGAGGTAGTGAATCAGGTTTTACTTTATTTTCTAGAATACATTTTATGAATAATTAACAAAAGTAACAATATTTTAAATGACAACAAATTAATAAAAAGAAAATTATATTCATATTGTACTTTTTACTTGAATATGAATCTAATATTTTAATAAGACAGTTCCTACATGAAAGGTTCTTTTCAGATTTTCATTTAGCGTGTGTTTTGGCTGAGCAAATGGTGATCAATAGGAGAACCCAATCAATGATCCTGGGAACCCATCAGGGAACCTTTGGGTTCCGCGGAACCCAGGTTGAAAACCCCTGGTTTACAGTATTGCAATTGTAGAAAAACAGATCAGAATTGGTAAAAAAATACTATTAGAATAATATAATAAAATACGTAACATTAGAGATTATTTATTGGATTTTATATTTCTTCTTGGAAGAGTTCTTTATTTATAGCAGTACGTCTATTTCAGTACTTCTTAAACTGTGTACTCTGTGTTAAACTATTGCAAGAGGGTTGTGTCAATTTGGTGTTACTTAAATTTTATATAGATAGGTTTAGATTACCAAGGTTTAGAACAAGGGATTCCTAATTATGTCAAAATATTGAAAAGATGTAAACAAGATCCTCAAAATAAACTATAAATTTGGAATTACAAAAATAATATTAATGGGCCTATATAGATATAAGAACAAATACAAAATTCTATACAAAAATAATAATTTATGGCTCCAAAGCACATACTTAGTCTGTTTATTCATAAATGTTCCTCTGCCTTACTTATTTGCACTATAATTATATTGTATTAAATCCATTTTGTCCTATAAAATATGTTCGTTGATGATTGAAATTTTCTCAGGTGTAAAGACAGTCATCATAAGGAGAACTTTAAGAAGCTTTAATTTATTATATTTATGTTCTTTTGAATTGATTGGTAAGATTTGTTGTACAATAGAAAATCCTGAACAATGTACAGCATTGTTATGAGACTTAAAATAAAATAAATTCATTATTATCTATTAAAGGGAATTGACAATTAACAATCTCCAATGAGTGCTATGAAATAATTAAACATGCTCCCCTTTAAATTTTATTTTACCTATAATAAGAAATAAACTTCACTGTTCATTTTACAACATGAGATATTTTGACTTTACGAGAAACTTCATAAGAAATAATTTGACACACTTGTGATTTCCAATGCAATAATGTGTAGAAAATGCCTAAAATATAAATATTAACAACGTGAGTAATGTACCAAAAAATTACCACATTCTTGAAAAATCAAAAGAATACAACAAAATGAAATATATGTCATGTGATTCAGTGAATTTAGTGCAATCAGTGTATCCTTACAAAAAGTTTTAAGAAAATAATTGAAACCATTTTCTGAGAAAATGTCATTTCTGCATTTTTGAAAATGGGCAGTTTTGAGACCATTTTTGCCGGAAACTTTTTACTTATTCATTTATTTAATGAAAAAACAGTAAAAACTGTATATGTATATGGGAAAGAATATCTAGAGAAAACCTTTTGCGTTCTCGAGAAACTTCATAAGAAACCGTTTAAAGCACTTGCACTCACAAATGCAGTAATGTATAAATAAACACCCGTAGTATAAATATTAAGAACATGAGTGAATGTTACATTTGTGTAATTTTTTTAAAATCTAAAAAAATACATCAGAATTACGTTTATGTTGCATTATTCTGAGCACATAGCACTATCCACACAAAACGTTTAAACAAAAAAATTAGTTGTTATTTGAGAAAATCTTGTATTTCAATTTTTTATTTATTGCCCATATTTCATTGAAAATTACGGGAAAACATTCACATTTGAACAAACTTTAAGAACAGATATTATTCAGGGAAAAAATCTGTCTTCAATACTGTAGTTGTAGGAAGGCGCCGAAATGTTTTTTGAACTTTTGCAATATTCGAAAATTTAGATAGTATAGTCTTCTGAAGCGTCCTTTACACTGTCCGAAGACAAAGTTTAATCAAAAGATTTGGAGATATTTTTGAGAAAAAATTTAAAATATCCTTGAGACTTCATGTAAATTACTCCCAAAAATGAAAACATCGCCTTCAAAATCAAGGGGCCGCGACATCAGCCAGATGAACGGGAAAATATCAAACTGGTTACGATTTAACTGCGAGCTTTGTTCACAGACAGAAAGACTTTTTGCCGTAAACCAATTTTTTGGTATTATGGATCCACAAGACTTGGATTCTGAATACACAATTTTCTATATGATACATTAAATAGTATACACTTCCCACTTAAAGTCATAACTGAGTAATTCCTAGGCATTTTAGGATCCAATGTGTTCCCTAGACTTCCCCACAGGACATTGAAGTTTCTTTCCTGCATTTACTACCAGCAATGCTAAATTGCTCCATCGTAATTTACAAATCGTGTGTAAAGTTCAATAGAGCTTCTGAGAGCAATTAACGAAATAGTAGATTGCCGCGAGACGTGGTCCCCATCTAAATACCGTTTTGCACACATGACCTTCAAAACCCGAGAAAATTTATTGTCTACAGGAGATTTCGAAAAAGCTCCTCCATCTCCCTTTTCCACGTCTTAAAGCAGAATTAGAGCGCACAATTATATCGTTTTTCGCGAATATCTTGAAAATAATGAGGAAATAAGATAAAGCATTTCCTAATTTTCTGAAAGTAATTCAAATTTACAGTATTATTTTAAAATGCATGCAGAAATTAATAAAAAAAACAGGAACACGGGAAAATCCACCCACATCTATATTACTAATTTCCAATGATATAGAATGAAATGAGATATAGAAAGAAAAGTATGTGATAGGTGTGTGCGTAGCTGACCCGGAAACAATTCCCAAACAATAAATCAGTTTCCACTTAGACTGAAAATGCACATCTTTGCCTCTTATCCCGCCTATTCTCATACAGCTCATACCGACTGAATTCACATACCGTGTGCGTTACTGCATACGAAACAGCTGACATCATGCAACATCAAAGCTCCAAAGATGAAGCCACCCGACAATAAATATTTTTAATTTAGGTGCTGCTTAATGGAATAGCGACTTTGAATTTTTCCTCCTTTACTTTGTAAAAAGAGAAAGTATTCTAATTGTGCGTTGGAAAAACGGCAAATATTATACATAAAAACCAGCATTGCCGAGCCCTAGGTACGAAAAACTGGATACAACTTGTTCCTACATTTAGTAAATTACTTGCTCGTGGTGTAGTAAGGATCCATGCTTTGTGGGTTCTTGATATCGAAAAATTGAATGACGACAAAACGTCTGTTTGACCGTCTGTGGTCATTGCTAGCGCCGAAACAATTCTGTCGTTTTTCTCCAAAATTGATATTCCTTGATGTATTTAAGGAAACTCACGTACATACTAGTTTGAAACTGATATTTGGGGGGAGGGGAGGTTCATGAAACCTCAGTTACATTTTCAAAATTTTCTCAAAAATGAGTATAAATTTATTGATTGAAATTTGTCCTTAGTGTAAAAGATGCTTACAAATGACGTAGTTCTCATTTTCGTTGAAATCCCTGATTTTTCGAAAATAGCGTGAGTTCAATTTCTTTAGCGTCTTCCTACTACAATATTCGACGTAAATTGTTTCTTTAATAAAATCTGTTTTTCAAAAATATGTCTTGGAATAACGTCATGTACACGTTTTCAGAAACATGAGTAATTTTGGCGTGTTCAATTTTGTTGAAAATGAGTCGTTTTCACCTAATGTTTTGTGAAATGAAGGAAATTTTAATGAATTATTTTCTCAATGAACTCTATGAAGTACGCCGTACATTATGAACAAACGTCTGAGGAGATAATTTGGAGCTCTTTTCGAGAAAATTGTAAAAATGTCTTAGGAGCTTCGTGTAAAGAACCCCCTGAAATTAAAAAAAAAAGTTTTAAATTCGCTGAGATTCGAATTAGGTAAGATCGATTGTGGAAAATTCGTTTTGGAAATATTCCGGGTACTATCTTTACCAATGATGTTCACAGACGGACAGACATTTTTCGGCAACAATACAAAAGTTGTATTTTAGTTTAAATCTCCACATCTATTTTTTTGTAGCTGTACATAACTTCCTAAAACATGAATTTGAGAAAGTAAAAGAAACAACATATGCGTATTATCGTATGATAAGTAACGAATTTACATTGTTAATTCCATATGTAAATGAAGTACTAGTGGAATCCT